CTAATATATTCCAAGAGAATATAATGGGTTGTTGATTTGATGGTTGCCCAGACAGTCATATCTGTGTTTTTGGTCTCCTTTCCTAGTGTAATAATAGAAACTCAAATCATGCTTTCTAGAAAAAATATCTTATCCATTTTTACTTTACCAATGTGCTATTCTTGTGATTGAATAAATCATTTTTATGGTACTGGTTTTGGACAATTACCATTTTATTTACTCTTAAGTTTAACATATCTCCTATTTATGAATTTACTGATATATATATATATATAAAATTAATGCCTGTAAAGTCTTAGTTCCCTTACTTCTAAAATTAGGACATTGAGAATGTCTATTCTACTCATCTCACAATGTTGCAAAGAATATTATTTATAATGTATAAAGTATTATATACAACTAATGTTATCAGTATTTCTATATATCCAAATTAGGGTTTTTTTCAAAGTAATCTCTTTGGAAGAATATAGACTTATTCTGTGAATAAAAAATAAAAAGTGACCCTAACTGGTTTGGCTCAGTGGATAGAGCGTCGGCCTGCGGACTGAAGGGTCCCAGGTTCGATTCTGGTCAAGGGCATGTACCTAGGTTGCGGGCACATCCCCAGTAGGGGGTGTGCAGGAGGCGGCTGATTGATGTTCCTCTCTCATCGATGTTTCTAACTCTCTATCCCTCTCCCTTCCTCTCTGTAAAAAATCAATAAAATATATTATAAAATATATATATATATTAAAAAAAAGTGTAGTGTGCTTGTTAAAGTGAAGTTTCTTTTCCCTCTTTTTCTCTTTTCCTTTCCCTTCCTAAACAATTCAGTTCTAAAGCCATTAGGTGAGGCAACATAAGGCAGGCGTCTACACTGACCAGTAGTCCAGAGAAAGGAGTCAGAGCCCAAACACGGGGAAGGTCCACACAGTGGGGAGCAGCCCAGCTGTGGAACCAGATGCAGTGAGGTGGGTGTCTGTGCACGGAGGGAGTGGCAGTGGAAGGACATGAGTTAAATAAGTTAAACAGAGGGCAACTGTCTTAGTCCATTCAGGCTACTAGCAAAATATGACTGAATGGGTGACTTATAAACAACAGACATTTATTTCAATCCTGTAAGCTAGGAGGTCCAAGATCAAGTTGCTAGTGCGGTTGAGTTCTTGTGAAGGCCCCCTTTCTGGTCCATAGGTGGAGACTTTTTACTGTGTCCTCACATGGGGGAAGGGGCCAGGGATCTCTCCCCCTTTTATAAGGCACTACTATATATTATATATATTATCTATACTAATAAAAGCTTATGTGGTTGTCATGCCCTCACGCCATGATGCCCTCACGCCCTAACAATCCATCACCAGGAGGCTGCATGTGCAGCGGGCGCACGTGGGTGGGTGGGGCTGTGTGCACAGCGAGTTGCGCATGGGTGGGTGGGGACTTGACGCTATGTGCACAGCGCAGAGGTGGGACCCCTGGCTCCGGCCTACCTCTTTGGGGCAATCCTTTGAGGAGCCCAGATGGGTGGCTGGGGCCTACCTCTTTGGGGAGATTGATTGCGGGGCTCCCTCACTGTGAGAGGGTACAGGCCAGGCTGGGGAACAACCCCCCCCCAGTGCACGAATTTCGTGCACTGGGCCTCTAGTTATATATAAAATAATATAAACATATATTAATTACATCTCATATTAAGTATATTCTATTATACTGTCATTAAATGTTATATTGTTAACTAGAGGCTGGGGGGTCCCTCAGCCTGGCCTCCACCCTCTCATAGTCCAGGACTCCTCAGGGGATGTCTGCCTGCCAGCTTAGGCCCATTCCCTGGGGGACTGTGCCTAAGCCATCAGTCATACATCCTTAGCGCTACCACGGAGGCAGGAGAGGCTACCACCACTGCTGCTGCATTCGCGGCTATCAGCCCAGTTTGTGGCTGAGTGGAGCACACTGACCACCAGGAGGCAGCTACTGCGTTGAGCATCTGCCCCCTGGTGGTCAGTGTGCGTCATGGTGACTGCTCATTTCTGGTCGTTTGGCCGTTAGGATCAATTTGCATATTAGCCTTTTATTATATAGGATTATACTATTTAATTATATATTATATTAAATATATTATTATATTATAAAACTATATATATGTATGATTGATTCCAGCACTTTAAAATCAGATTTTATTTTAAATAATACTTAGGTATATGAGGGAAGTATGCTATTATAACCTAATAATAGTTCAGTGAGAACTTTAATAAAGAAGGAATAGGAGAATCCATTCATTCAAGGACCAGATAGCTATTCTATTCAACTTTTCATTTATAGCCATGCTGTCTTGTCTTCACCTTAGCAGAACGTTACAGGCTGTGCAGTCGCAGAACAGGCTCATACCAGTGGACAAGAGCCAATTGTTACATTTTGTGAACTAGTTTTAAACATAGCCATTGGTAAAAATTAAATTATATAAATGTAAAAATAAATTAATTACAGTAAAAGAAAAGTAATGCTCAAAACCCATCGCATTCTAATTGTTTACCACATTTTACTATTACCTATGCCCTTGGGGTTATTTATGACCCAGATCAGTGAGATCTCATTGGTAGCCTGAAACTGGCCATGATGGAGTATTTATGGAGTGAAAATAGGTGAACACTACACATCATGTCTTTATGTATTGATTGTATAGATTTAAGAAAGTGGTAGAGAAATGTTAATAATGCAGATAAAACTAAAATGGGTGTTGTGTCTGTAGTCATTGCATTGTGACACATAAATATGAGGAAATACTTTTCCATTATAAAAAATATCCAATTCAACAAAGAAGTCACTCATGCCATTGATGAACCTGTGAAATTCTGAGATACATCTCTATATTTCACTCTTCCTCTTGCTCCTTAACAAAGAAATCAACCAACATTTATGTCAGAAATATATTCAGGCCCTAACCGGTTTGGCTCAGCGGATAGAGCGTCAGCCTGTGGACTAAAGGGTCCCAGGTTCGATTCCGGTCAAGGGCATGTACCTGGGTTGCGGGCACATCCCCAGTAGGGGGCGTGCAAGAGGCAGCTGAATCAATGTTTCTCTCTCATCGATGTTTCTAACTCTGTATTCCTTTCCCTCTCCCTTCCTCTCTGTAAAAAATCAGTAAAATATATTTTAAAAAAAAAGAAATATATTCAGTCATCAGTTAAAACCATAAGTCGGTAATGAATACAAGATTTTCTAAAAAGTCAACAAAAGCATTATGTTATAATTAATTTATATAGAATTAACAATGAAGAGTATTATATATGTATTATATATGTGTATATATTTCTTTAACTTTTTAGAAATTTTATTTTAGAGAGAGAGAAAGAGAGAGAAACATTGTTCGGTTGCTTCCTGCCCGAGCCCCAATCAGAGAAGGAACCCACAACCAGGATGTGTGCCCTGACAGGGAATTGAGCCCCCTACCTTTTGGTGTACAGGACAATGCTCAAACCACTGAGCAACCACACTGGCCAGGTCTATATGTTTTTTTAATAGACTTTATTTTTTAGAGTAGTTTTAGGTTCACAGAAAATTTAGCACAAAGTATAGAGAGTTCTCATAGATCATCTTCCCGCAAGCATGCACAATCCCCCCACCACACACACATACACACTATCAACATCCCAACCACAGAGATATATTTGTTATGATGAGCCTACATTTACACATCACTATCACCAAAGATCCATAGTTTACATTAGGATTCACTCCTGGCGTTGTACCTTCTATGTGTTTTTGATAAGTGTATAATGACATGTATTCACCATTATAGTATCACTAGAGGCCTGGTGCACGAATTCATGCACGGGTGGGGTCCCTTGGCCTGGCCAGCAATCGAGGCTGATCAGAGTCAATCAGAGTCAGCTGGCTGTGGGGAGGGACCACGGGAGGTTGGCTATGGGAGGGCACTGACCACAGGGGGCAGCTCCTGCATTGAGTGTATGCCCCCTGGTGGTCAGTGCACATCATTGCTACCGGCCGGTCATTCGGCATTCGGTTGACCTATCCTAATGATTGCTTAGGCATATCTATCTATCTATCTATCTATCTATCTATCTATCTATCTATGGTATAGGATAGTTCACTGTTCTAAAAATCCTCTGTGCACTATCTATTTCTCTCTCCCTCCTATCGCCTGCTAACCACTGATATTTTTACTGTCTGTATAGTTTTGCCTTTCCTAGAGTGTTATACAGCTGGAAACATATAGTATGTGACCTTTTCAAATTAGCTTCTTTCACTTCGTAATATGCATTTAAGGTTCCTTCATGGATTTTCATGGCTTGATAGCACACCTTCCATCATCTGGATGTACCATAGTTTATTAATCCTTTCACCCACTTAAGAACATCTTGGTTGCTTCTACGTTTTAACAATTATGAATACATTTGATAATAGACATTTGTGTGCAGATTTTTTGCACGTACATTTTTATAGTTTGGAAATTATATACTATAATGCTATCTTTCTATCAGTAAAATTGACAATAAACTTATGTACAAACACATATTTATACTTCTGATTGTTGGTGTTTGAACATTTACCAGTACACCACTGCTTAAAGGCTGTGGTAAACACTGGCTTTCCTCTGAGTGAAATAGGAGGCTGCTGAAGGATTTTGAGCAGGGGAGAGGCTGACATTGTTAAAGGTCCACTCTGGGTTGTGTTAAGACCTTAGTGAAATAGAAGCAGTTAGAGGACAAAATAAAACCTTTATTGCCAATAAAGGCTGGGTTGGAGGATATAGTTTAGCATGAGAACAACGATGGCATGCAAACTCCCTATCCTCCAGTCCTGGCCTTGGAGTCTGAGGGAAAGAGTCCACAGAGTAGACACTGACACAGGATGTTGAGAACAGAAAAGAAGCCCCCAGGCTTTTTTCTCCCCTGAATTTAGAACACAAGGATTTTACAGCATTACAATAACCAAACTGTAGGCCTTTTTTTTTTTTTTTTGCTTTAATTTTTTTCTCCCTATTTTTTCTCACCAGAATTTTCCTTTTTTAGGTGATTTTGCACCCAGAGTTCCTATCCTCCACCAGCCCCTTGTTACCCATGGATTATGAAGAGTTCGTCCGAGGTTGTCACCTTGGAGTATTTCCGTCATACTATGAGCCATGGGGTTATACTCCAGGTACGTGACCTGTATAGATGTGGAATGTTTTGGAATTTATTTCATGCATATCGTGTGATATTCCAAGTTGACATTGAATTTACTATTGGATAGAGAAGCACAAAACCAAAGCTTAAGTGACTGAGGGAATGTGGGAGATCACTAATATCGGTAAAGAGAATGATTTATAACTCATGGCAGATTTCTAGCAAAAATGTCGCTTTATAGGACAAAGTTAAACTTAACTTGAAATGATAGAGGAGTTATATCTAGTTTGTAAGGTGTTATAAAACATAACTAAATGAAAGAAACAGTTTGGGAAATACTCCATAGTGAATGAGTCATTCTGTTTTGAATTAACCCAAGGAAGTTGGCCACTCCTCATCAGACCTATAATTACAGAAATAAGGAAACCTCTGGTGCTATAAGGTTGGTGTTAGCATATTAGATAAATCTCTAATTTTTTTAAAGAATAATGATTTTATGTGACACTAACTCTAATTCACTCCAGAAAGTATTCATTAGAGTTTGTGCTTTGAGAAAGCACAATGAATATAAGTGCTTATTTCATTAAATTCACCGAACGAACATATATTGAGCTTACATGGATACCTGGCATTTTACTACCTGTGTGTTAATGAGTACTTAATAAAAATAAGGATCTGTTAAGTTTCATCTAATTGTAGCACAGTTTTTCTAGGGAGGATTTCCTGAGTTTTTATCAGATTCTCAAATGGGTCAATAATCCCATTCCACCTACCCCTCCCATCCTAAACTAGGAAACCACTGCTCTCTAGAGCAGTGATGGCGAACCTATGACACACGTATCAGAGGTGACACGCGAATTGTTTTGGTTGATTTTTCTTTGTTAAATGGCATTTAAATATGTAAAATAAATATCAAAAATATAAATCTTTGTTTTACTATGATTGCAAATATCAAAAAATTTCTATATGTGACACGGCACCAGAGTTAAGTTAGGGTTTTTCAAAATGCTGACATGCCGAGCTCAAAAGGTTCGCCATCACTGCTCTAGAGATACACCAAGAGGAAATACTTGCAGAGCAGGAGAAAGGGCCACTGATTAAATTGTGTTACTTCATGGGTAACGGGGAAATCTCTTTCTTTTTTACCCAACCCCACTAGCCAACCAAGAGTTATTCCACAATCAAATACAATGTCTTTGTTAAAATGCAGATATCCCTGAGAGTGGTAATATTCACAAGACATACCTGATATTTTCTGGAAAAAAAAAACAAAAACAAAAAACAAACAAATTTTGACCAAAAAAGGTGAGAGAGGACTGAGAGAGACAATGGGTGCACTGCACACCAGAGAAAGTGGAAGAGATTTGTGTGGAGGATGATTTCAAAAACATGTCCAAAATATATACCTACCCCATTAACTTGCCAAATACGTAGAAATGGAGTGAAAAGCAAAACTAGTACTGAGAGCCCTAACCAGTTTGGCTCAGTGGATAGAGCGTCAGCCTGTGGACTCAAGGGTCCCAGGTTCGATTCCGGTCAAGGGCATGTACCTTGGTTGCGGGCACATCCCCAGTAGGGAATGTGCAGGAGGCAGCTGATTGATGTTTCTCTCTCATGGACGTTTCTAACTCTCTAGCCCTCTCCCTTCCTCTCTGTAAAAAATCAATAAAATATTAAAAAAAAAAAAACTAGTACTGAGAGAGGCAGTATAGGGTAGCCGTTCCCAGCCAGGTCTCTGGAGTTGGGCACGTGGCTGGAAATCCTACCACTCCCTCATCCCTTGGCTTTGTGAATTTGGGCAACCTATATTTCACTTTTCTGTGCCTTAATTTCTTCATCTGTAAGATGAAAATAATGGTAGCCTCACTTCACGTGGTTATTGAGAAGATTAAATGAGTTAATACATGTAAAGAGCGTAGTACTGAGCCTGGCACAAAGGAAACATTGCTGTTCCTAGCTAGATGGGGGCTTTTTCCTCCTCTGCGTGCATCAGAGGACACTGGAGCTGGGTTAAAGCCAAGCCTTTGTCTGTTTCCCTGGCAGCCGAGTGCACTGTGATGGGTATCCCCAGTGTGACAACCAACCTCTCCGGCTTTGGCTGTTTCATGCAGGAGCATGTGGCTGATCCTACTGCCTACGGTGAGATGTTTCATCATTAACCCAATCCAGAGAGAAATGACACTTAACCAAACAAAGCACAGGGTCTTTACAGAGTCCAACTCTAAGCCTAACAGGATTAAACAAAAAAGTTTTTTTGTTCAATAAAATATTTTAATTATGTCATCCATAGAAGGAATAAAAATGCTATTAATATTTAATACATTGTCCAAAATACAAACCACAAAAGGAGTTAAATGAACAAATGAAATTGAAACAGAAAATAAATGCAAAAGAAGTGTTAAACTTAGATAAACCTGCCCTTTACCTTTTTTTTTTCTGAACTGGTTTGGCCCTCTACTATCTAGAAGGGATATTACAATAACTATGGTCTTAGAGGTGATATTACAAGAACTATATTGGTCACCATAATTATTTAAAAGATCCATGCCAAGTTAGCAAAATTCACTTGCACTATTTAAGATGGCTGGAGAATTTGCCTATTACCATCTCTATGTCCATGTTGCCTAGCAACAAGCCAAGTTCCAATGGGCTGGATCCTCTGCCTACACATTGCCAATTCCCTGGTCCTGCACATGGAACACTGGGGCGTCTAAAAACCACTGACACCCAGGTCTCACCCCAGAGATTCTGGCTAGTGAGAAGCCCAGGGAGAATCATCGATTCAGAATACCCCTATATTGCCAGATTTTTTTTTAAAAAAATTGTTGGCTGCAGGTTGGTGACAGTTATAAACCATTAGGAGATCAAAGAGACACAGCCTTGGAAGGGAAAGGATAAAGTAGAGGCAATGGGGAGCTAGGAAATAGATCATTCATGTGATCTGCCATAGAACCTAAGAAATAGGAGAAGAATTGCTCTAAGGTGAACCCTACCTTTTACCTGTGCATTGGCTTTTGTGCCCTTCAGGTATTTACATTGTTGACAGGCGGTTCCGCTCTCCAGATGATTCTTGCAATCAGCTGACTAAGTTTCTCTATGGATTTTGCAAACAGTCACGTCGCCAAAGAATTATCCAGAGGAACCGAACTGAGAGGCTCTCGGATCTTCTGGACTGGAGATACTTAGGCAGAGTAAGCAAATTGGTGATCAACACAGAGGACCCTTTAAAAATTCCACTGGACCACAAACATATTGATCCTCCGCATAATCTGTAAAGTCAACTCGGTATCATAATTGTTAAAACCTCAGTTACTTTTCATGTACTTTTTTTTTTACATATTATGAATGTGCAAAATTCTAAACTCAATTCTTCACATTTCGTCCGAGCCTCTAACAGCCAGTCCATCAGGATCTAACACTGATTTTTACTAGTCATTCTCTTGTCATTGCTTAACTTGATACATTACAAATAAGCAGAAACATTTAATGAAGATGAGGAAAACAAGATCCCTACTTTGTTTCACTCTAAGAGATAATCTGATTTTATTCCTCAGCTTCAGGGGTAATGGGAATAATATTGTTTTTCAAAATGACAAGTGCCAAGGGAAACACCTTCTTTCATGAAGTAGGTTTATAAATACCCAGATGCTCATATATCTTAGCACTGGATAATTTAGTAAAAGATGAACTGACTTTGCCTTTGCATATTGTATCTGCTTAGATACTGCTAAACTTCCCCAGACAAATGATAGATGCTGCCATTTGCAGAGTGCTCATTACAACCATGGGTGATTCATTTTATTGTCTTCATCTATAATAAAAAAAGTGTAACATGCTAATTAGATTGGACAGCCAAATGACCTTCCAGACGACCTTCCAAACGAAGCTGGGACTGTGAGGTCGGAAGCAAGTGGCCGCAGCTGGGAGGGCCAAGCCCCTTGCATGAATTTCATGCATTTGGGCCTCTAGTTTTATAATAAAAGCAGAATGATAAGGCTCTTAGGCAGTGATTTTCAACCTTTTTCATCTAGTGGCACACATAAACTAATTATAAAAATTCTGCAGCAAAAAGTATATTTTTTGTCAAAAGACAAAAAGCATAGGTATCATTTTGATTCATTCACAAACTGGACGACTATTGTTATATTTATTGGCTGTTGTCATTACAATCTAAGGGGAAAGAGGTCAGTGCCCTTGATTAAATAGTCAGGTATTGCATATTTTAAAAATTCTTGCAGCACACCAGTTGAAAATTGCTGCTCTTAGGACTTACATTTCTTACCTATGGTCTAAAGTGGGATTTAAATCCACTTTGTCTGATTATTCTGGTCTCATCATTTCCCCCACACATATTGCTTCTCTGTAGAATGAACCCAGTGGTTTCAGTCCCCTTAGCACTAATTCGAAGTTCAGTAAGGCCAGTATGGCTTTTCCCTCCCATGTTTTGTAGCATTTCTTTAAAAAATGATTTCATTGATTTTTAGAGAGAGAGGAAGGGAAAGAGATAGAGAGATGGAAACATCGATGAGAGAGAAACTTCATCAACTGGCTGCCTCCTGCAGTGCGTGCCCCCTACTAGGATCGATTCCTGACCAGGAATCAAACTGGTGACCTCTTGGTTCCTGGGTTGACACTCAATCACAGAGCCACCCCAGCCGGGCTGTAGTGTTTCTTTACCTAGTCATTGATAAATAAGAAAACCATAAGCTGTCATTTCTTTTCTGATTTTCAAACTTAGAATGAATAGAATCTGTCACTTAAAAACATATATTTCATAACTAAAAGAAAAACATTTTACATAATAACTTGGTTGTTGAACTATATAGATTTTTTTTTAACCTGTGAATCGGTCTTCTGTCACAGTATTACCAGCATGCCAGGCACTTGACATTAAGCAGAGCGTTTCCAGATAAATTCCATGTGGAATCCACGTCACCACCAACGGTAAGTATTCTATGTATTACTTGTTGGTGTTGAAAGCTACATTTCTTATTTAGAGTAAATCTTTTTTTTATTTATTTTATTGCTTAAAGTATTACAAAGGGTATTACATATGTGTCCATTTCCCCCCCCCCCCCCCGCCCTAGACAGTCCCCTAGCCTCCCCTATCCCCCAGTGTCTTATGTCCATTGGTTATGCTTATATGCATGCATACAAGTCCTTTGGTTGATCTCTTACCCCCCTACCTCCTGCCCCCCCAACCCTCCCCGGCCTTCCTGCTGCAGTTTGACAATCTGTTTGAGGCAGCTCTGCCTCTGTATCTATTATTGTTCAAAAGTTTATAATGGTCTCTATTATCCATGAATGAGTGAGATCATGTGGTATTTTTCCTTCATTGACTGGCTTATTTCACTTAGCATAATGCTCTCCAGTTCCATCCATGCTGTTGCAAATGGTAAGAGTTCCTTCCTTTTTAGAGCAGCATAGTATTCCATCGTGTAGATGTACCAGTTTTCTAATCCATTCATCTACTGATGGGCACTTAGGCTGTTTCCAGATCTTAGCTATGGTGAATTGTGCTGCTATGAACATAGGGGTGCATATATCCTTTCTGATTGGTGTTTCTAGAGTAAGTCTTAACACTACCTTTTAATTTGGAAGTAGCTACGTACACAAACTACTATAGTTTTTCATAGTGCCGCATCAAAGCAAAGAATAGAGGAACTGACAGATCAGACCAACTTGAAGCCCTCGATTTAAAGGCAGCGCCATGTGTAAGATGAGCAGAGTCAGCTAACTCACATCATTAGAGAAGCACCTTGCCCAGCCAGTGTGGCTCAGTGGTTGAGCATCAACCCATGAACCAAGTTGGGGGAGCGGGGGATCACCAGTCAATTCCCAGTCAGGGCACATGCCCGGGTTGCAGGCTTGATCCCTAGCAGGGGTGTGTGTAGGAGGCAATCAATCGGTGATTCTCTCTCATCATTGATGCTTCTATCTCTCCCTCTCCTTTCCTCTCTCTGAAATCAATTAAATCTCTCATGAAATCTCTCTCGGCCTTCTTGTTCCAAACTGCTCCGTTAGACATCCATTCTTTTGAGAGTTGTTCAAAATAAAGTAGCCTGCTTGCACAGGAAGTTGATTTGCTATACAAGGAAGTGTTTAAATGTAGGGTGACTGCTTGGCAAGAGTAATATAGACCGAATTCAAGCACCACAGGAGGGATTGGACAGGATGGACATTTATGTTCCATTCAGCAGTGGCCCCCAGGGAGTCTTTGAAAGTCCAACCAGACACTATATTTATGGGACAACATCAGCCGCTTAGCAGCAGATTCACTTAGAAGGATGCAAGATAGGAAACACTGCCTAGAGCAGGGCAGCATCGATATTTCTCTTCAGTGGGATTGTCCTTACAGCAGTCTACATCGTGGTCAAAGAGCTAAACGTCTTCGTCCCCCTCAGGTGATAGTTTAGGTGCAAGAAGGTGAGAACCATACCATTGGGTATGAGATCCAGCTTAGCTTCTATGACTCACAGGAGCCAATATCTCATGTCAATTTCCATAGACACTTTCCATGGCCTCTGCAAAAATATGCCCACTTACAAGACTCATCAAATTCATGGATTCTCCAAAGCTAAGGATCCTCATTTAATATTTATAGATCCTCCAAGTTCAGTGTTAAGCTCTCAATCAAGGATCACTTTACCATAAACAATTTTGTCTACTAATACAATTTATATCCCACCTATATTGGGTGTCCAGAACAGACCTAGAAAGTTAGCACAGGTGAAATTTGCCCATAGAGAAGGAGAAAGTGTTTTGTAAATCCATCAATCTGCAAATTTCACTCCCATGTTCATGATTTTAAAAGAATGAGTGCTTATCTTTTTAGAGGTGGAAGGTAATTCAGCTATATTCATTCATTAATCTGCTTATTTAGCTATTAAGTATTGAGCATCTCTTCTGAGTCAAGTCCTAAGTGCAGGACTCAGCTGTTTTTCTGTGTTGCTTTCAGATAGTGTTGAAATGTGAAATGACTGTACAAGTATGACATAATAATAATGTATAAAAATAGTTGAAATACAGTAACATACTGTAAGAGTTTTACGTTTGTCTCCCCATTCAAGCATGTACACTCTTAAGAGAGCAGGGATCATGTTTTTCATCCGTTTTCCCAGTGCCATTATTATGCCTGACCCATATTTGGTGCTTAATATTTGTTTATAAAATGAGTTATCTCAATGAATCTTAGGTGGAAGGACAATTTGATTAAAACCTAGTGATACTTTCTCATTAACTGAACTAAAAATAGCTGGTGGAATATCAGAGTTAGCTCAGTGGCCCAGTTTCCAGGATTCTTTGTAGTGGTGGTTGCCCATGTCCTGCAATTTCATCGAGCAAATCTGAAGGATGACATAGAGACTAACACGATCAGCAGTGTAATGTAACAGCTGAGATTAACAGTTCTGGAGAGATTCTCACGCTGGTCTCAGCTCTTTGCTCTACCACATGTGCTATATGACCTTTGGCAAGTCATTTGGCCTCTCTAACCCTTCATTTTCTTCTGTAAATGTGGAAAACAAATTTATTGGAGTGTTGTTACAAAGATTAAATACAATAACATATATATAGTATCTGCCACAAGTCAATGATTAATAAAATAAAACTATTTATTTAATGAACCTCTCTTGAGCTTGTTGGTACCAGAATCGAAATTAGTTGCTCCTTGCCCAGCCAGTGTGGCTCAGTGTTTGAGCATCAACCCTGAACCAGGGGGTCACCATTCAATTCCCAGTCAGGGCACATGCCCAGTTGCAGGCTTGATCCCTAGTAGGGGTGTGTGTAGGAAGCAATCAATCGATAATTCTCTCTCATCATTGATGTTTCTATCTCTCCCTTTCCCTTCCTCTCTCTGAAATCAATTAAAAAAAATAATTCATTTAAAAAAAATTAATAGCTCCTGAACAGACCACAAAAAATATCCAACTGTGTGGCCAGGTTAATTTCAACTACGGAATTTTACTGAAAGCAAGGAGTCACTGTCAGGCCTCTAAGATGGAGTCCAGTGTTACCCTTATACTATCTCAATATTAATCCAAACAGACAAGTGGGAGGTACTTAATTGCGCTAATTTACTATTAACTTATCTTTTAAAGATAAAATTTTATACATAGACAGACATTGTATATAAATTAAATAATTTCTCCTTCAACCATAAAAAAATCCAACTATGATTTTTATAAAATGCAAATTGTTTACATATTGGAAAATTAAGAAGTTGTTATAATGCTTGTATCTTATTTTTGTCTTTGGCAGACAGAGGGATTTAAATACCCCAGGCCTTCCTCAGTACCACCTTCTCCTACAGGGTCTCAGGTGTCCAGTCCTCAGAGCAGTGATGTGGAAGACGAAGATGAAGACGAGAGATACAATGAGGAAGAGGAGGCGGAAAGGGATCGGTTAAATATTAAGTCACCATTTTCTCTGGGCCATGTCCCTCATGGGAAGAAAAAGCTGCATGGTGAATATAAGAACTGAATTCCCCCCTGGTGGAACAGAGCTCATTTAGTGAGAGCACAGTAAGAATGGTTATTAAAACCATGGCAATGCCACCAGTTTCACTTCCTTCTTCTAAGAATCACAGTGGGATTTATTCTCTGCCTAAAAAGTGGAGATGACGTGAATAGCGATTTTATCATTTAAAATAAAAGCCAAGTTATTTTCTTAAACTCCTTTCCCTCCAGTAAATTTAGACATGAGGAAGAGGGCTAATTAAAGGAGAGGGACTGGAAGTGTTTTTTAAATGGTTAATTTAAGCACTAACAATTTTTACTAGTTTTTTAAATTATCAGCACCATAAGCCTTTGCTTATTATTTATACAGCTTCCTTACTTACCAAATAGGTCCCTCATCCCTTCCCCACCCAAGATTCTGTTCTCAGCCATGAATGTGCACTACCTACATATTTTAAATAACTCGTTCTTTAATGATTATTTTCATTTTCACGAGTCAAACACATGAATTTATATCTAGCTTTGCAGGCAATCAAAATCCATAATAAAGTAGTTATCCTAAATCCAAATATTGATACATATTCATGCATATTTACAAGGACACTTCTCAAATTAATGATAGAAAGATGTTACCACCTGTGCTGTAGCATCTGACTGTAACAATTTTCTTACTGTTTAAAAGGAAAGCTTATTTGAAAACTTGGTCAGTCATCCACAGATGATAATTTTTTAAATCCAAATGAATAAGTATATCAATATTTAAAGATTTAACTTTCATTGGTAATGTTTTGTTTAAAATTCTTTTAGACATTTAAATAAGATAACATGTATAAAGCACCTGCTACATAATAGTGCCTTACAAAGGACAACATTTTTAAATATCTTTTAAAAATAAAATTTATAGTCTATAACAAGGACAGTGTCTCTAATACAGTCATGCTGTGCATAGAGATCTTGTTAAATGTAATTAAGCATCTTTATGTTTTAAATGTAACTAAATCTAAATTGGCAAAAACAAATCTACACTCACTCTTGGATTGTTTTTTTTTTTTCACAACCGAGTGTTGTTACTGAGTATTATTTACATCACAGTGAATACCTTGGTTGGTATCTCAGTTGGCTAATTGAGGCTCTAAAAATGTTTTGGTTTTCTCAGTGCTATAATGTTGATAGCAACAGGGGAAGAATAACAATGATGGTGGGTCAGATAGTTCAAGATGAGCTTAACAACCATAATCCAGCTCTCCCATTGCCCCATTGTTAGGAAAAAGTAGAACAGTAGATAAAACAACAAATCAGGCCAAAATGGAAGACGGTTGCAAGCTTGCCTCATGTAGAGGTTCAGAAAAAAAAAGGGCAATAAATTAAAGCCAACCCTTGAATAATGCCCCATGGATGCCAATTAACCCAGTGTCTGCAGAGCAAGTTGGAAGGTCTGCATGGGAGATCAGAAAAATATGAGATGGACTTGTATTACAATACTAATGCTCTTTTGCTGAAGTACCAGAAAGATCTCATATTAAAAAGGAGTTTCACTATTAAATAACCATAAAAATATATCCCTGGTAAAGTGACATACTGTATGTATTCAAATGATACTCTTGATTGGTAATTGGTTGGGTCACTTATGAGCTATATAATAAAATACGTTCATAATATAAAACTTTCAAATTCAAGTGCTTTTTACAAAATGAAAGAAGAGTCCTCTGATTAGAAATGAGTACAAATGAGAGTACACATGGAAATTAACTGATTTGCAAACACCTGGTTTTGAGTGGCATTGTGTCAGCGTCAGAGTTTCTACCCTGCACCAGACCCTCTGTTCAGACAGCTGCTGCCACTTGATTCCTTCCCCTTGTCCCAGTAATTTATTGTCCTTTCCCCAAGATTAACAAATCCTGGTGATGAGGAGCAAACAGGACTTTTAGATGATTCTGTGTATAGCACTGGGCCTAATACACAGTAGGTGCATAAATGCATAGTCTTATTGGGAGAAAGAGGTACAAAAATGATGCTTTTAAAAATGTAGGTATCCAGCAGGTGGAGGACAGGAACTATAGAAAGTAGTTTGCGTGTGCTTGACTAGCTGACAGCAAGACATTTTCTTCTGTGTTGTGCCACACTTCCTTCCATGGTAAGAGTTAGGATTAACAGAGCTGGTTTTACACACATAGACGAGAATATAAAATATTACATGTGCAATACTAATCGTTTTCCAGGGCACAGGGGCACTAAGAAAAGGAACTGGCCAGATGGGGGGAGGCGGGGAGGGTCCCAAGAGGCTTCATAGGATGAGCCTAACTTTCTATGAAGTAATATGGGAGATACAATTGCCTGCTTCACCTGGCAGTTGTAAAGATCAAATCAAAAACAGAAATGAACTCTTCCTAAAGAACTTACAGTCCAGAATCAGGAGACTAAACAGGCTACCTTCTCAACTCCCCTTTCTCCTGAGGCCGAAGTAGAATAATGTAACTCAAGGATGATAGGATATAGACTTCCATTTCTTATAACCAGGTAAAGAATGAAAAGTGAATTGAAAGCTTATTTTAAAGTCAGGGCCTCTTCACCTTCTCTTCCCTCTCATGATCCCAATGGTGGTGTGGGAGGAGAGGAGGTATCGCCTGGGGAAACCAGGGAAACAAAGAGTAATTGAGAGCCCACACTGGAGGTTACATATGTAAACAATGCCCGGATAGCCACAGCGGGGAGAGGATAGAGAGGCGAAACGGGGAAGAGCAACTGGAACTGTGCTAAAAGTGGCTTCAAAGTCCGACCTGGAGGTGAGGTAGTGCATGCATGGGAGGCAGGTATTTCCCAATTTTAAAATCCAAGCCACACAATGTGAAAAATGTTGATCCCTGATCATTTGTTCATTTCAGTGTTGAAAAACAACACACACCACACACACACACACACCAGAAGTAAAAAGGATTGCAAAGAGAAATAGAAAGTTACAGCAAACTGGGTTTGGGGGCCTTTATGCAATGACTGTGCTAATCAGCATATCTGTACAGCAGAAGAATTCAACTACTTATAATACATGGAGCTGGTATTATTTTAACTGGTCATGTAGACAGCTTATAAAAACTCTGTTTTGGGGCAAAATACTTGAGATTGTTTTAGTTCACTGTTGGAAGAATTACTTCATAAGATAGATTTTAAAAGTGTTTTGGGAACAGCCCTGGCCGGTATGGTTCAGTTGGTTGGAGCCTGATCCCATACACCAAAAAGTTGAGGGTTCGATTTCCGGTCAGGGCACATTCCTAGGTTGCAGGTTTGGTTCCCAACTCTCTGGTTGGGGCAAATATGGGAGGCAACAAATTGATGTTTCTTGTTCTCTCTCTCTCTCTCTCCCTCTCTCCCTTCGTCTCTCTAGAAATCAACAAACATGTTTTTAAAAAGGTCTGGGAATAGATATAATGTTTAAATAGCCAATATGTACGAATCTATGTCAGATGAGTAAATAATTATCAATAAACTGGATATATGCACTGTCTAGAAAATCCACTTTAAAATCAAATCATAATTAATGACAGGTGTCTACTATGATGCCACATAGATTTTTTTAATGCTAGCATATTTTTGTCAGAGATCAATACATTAACATGAATATAGTTGCATTTTCAATTATGAAACAAGTTACAGACAAACCTTATAAGCAGGGTTTTGGTTATTTAGCACAGTCAAATTGTAATTCCAATTACAGGCATTCACATAAGGATATTCTTCAGCTACTGAATAATGGCTATATATTGATGACAATAAGAATTAACAATACTTTCTAGTTATGACATTTATCAGTGACAACTTTCAATTAATTATGTCAAAAATAATTAACAAGTTGGCCATATTGTGTTTACAAATAAATATATCATTATGCTTGTTGTAGGTATATGTGTGTATATATTTTTCAGATAGTATTGAACCCAAGTTGACTTTAAAAAGAAGTAAATTAGACATTGTACCATGCTTTGTCAGGGTGTCTTTACATAATGTTTTGATGTCAAAAGAAGCCTAGCGTTCTAGTCCATTGGAGTAAGCAGTCTTTGAGTCTGTTTAGCCATGGAAAATGGGTTACCTCTAAAAAACTGGGGTACAGAGGAACAGAGGGTGTCTCATCTGCTGATTTTCCAGTAACTTTCAGATCCATGTTTCTAAACTGAATTCAGGGAGATCCCAGAGAGCACAAGGGGGAGCTCCAAGCTTCTCCAGCCTCACTGAAGATCCCTCTCCCAGCCATGGCACTGAGTGTTCCAATCACAGGGCTTCCTTCCTGTCCATCCCACCCCTTCCCTGCATAACTTACATCTGGGTGAACTGCCAAGAGAATCACACTCTACTCTTTCTCATCCTGCCATGCTTTCCCCCACCCTCCTTGGACGTGGGGAAGGGAGACAAGGAGAAGGAGAGTCCCTGTCGAGTGACGACAAGACAATGCAAGTTGGGTGACAGGATGAGAAAACCAACAACTAATAATATTAAATCAAGAGGGTATCTGTTGTAACAAAAAGAACACTATCAGGAGTATTCAGTCTTATAATCTAAAAAAATTCGAGAGTAAGACAGAAGGTGATCTAAGACAGAAGGACCTGAAGCAATAATAATAATTAATAATTAATAATAATAATAATAATAATAATAATAAAAGGCAATGATATTCCCAGCTAGGAACTCCACCTTACTTTTGCTTCTAGAAGAATTAAACTAGCTGTGCCTGTTCCTAAGACTGCAAATGAAGCAAAAAGAGTCCACAAGTTTTATTTACATGCTTCATGTCTTCAACAAGAACAGAACTGCAACTGCATTCAATTTGGTGTATTTTCACCAGTTTAGCAGACTGTCATCCAGAAATCTGGTTGGATCAAGGTTTTCTTCTCCAGCTGTAAGAAAAAAAAATTATATAAAATGAACACACTTTCCATGGTTTAAAAAAAAAAAAAAAGAACCACCGGAAAAATATTTAATCTCCTAAGTTATGTTAACTCATGCACTCTGCTACTGAAAATTTAAAAAAAAAAAAAAAAAGAGGATTTGATTGATTTAGTTTTAAATTTTTTTCCTCAGTGTGAGACATATCAGAGAGCTCACATTTCACACCTCACTCTCCATGAGCACAGCGTCAGAGCTGTGGGCCAGCAGCCTGTGCCCTGACCACCAGACTACTCACTGTATTTTTTATACATTTTAACATTTAAATTATGTCATAAATACTGCATCATTACAATTTTTGAGGAGGAAAAGTCTGGGTCTATTTATTACCCTTCAATGACCTCTATTTTTAATAGTCATAAAACGTATATACCTTGTTCATTTGGTTCTTAGCAATCCTGCACGTGGATATCATTATTCCATTCTACCTATTGATACTAAGCTCAGGGTCACCAGGGAAGTAACACAGCAGAGCCAGAATTTGAACCAAGTACTGCTACAGACTCCAAAAGCCGTGGCTAATCCACTATCAAGATGTTTCTTAATTCAACTAATAGTTTTAATGCTATGCAGGCAGAATGTCTCTCTTTGAAGATTACATCTAATCCCGGCCTAGAAGAAGCTGTCCAATGTAGTGAAAGTACACAGGCTTAGAATCAGAACTGTCCTGTATCTATTAGGGTGAACCATATGAAACCGCTGTGTTCGTAAGTGTAAGAAAAATTGGTTTTCAGCAATCTCATTTGGTTCAGCCTTTAATAGTGAGCAGTTGGATTTGTGATTATTTAAAATTCTTTGGGCCTCAGGTTTTTCAACTATAGAATAATAAAGTTGGACTTTGAGCTCTTTCAGTTCTAAAGTTCTAAAAGAAATAAAGGTTACAATAGGCTATGGGCTGGGTAATTCATATGAAATTCCCCAGTCTCTCCAAGGAAATAGTTTTATGTTCTTAGTACTCACTTTAATGAGAAATATACTAGCCTTTAAATAGTCAACATTCTGTGAATTTCGGGGGTAAGGGCGGGAAATGTTAATTATTTTTTAAAAACACCTGAATTCATAAAGCCAACTTTGTTGCACTCAACACAGAATCCAAAAAGTAATCAAAGCCTCTCTGTCCTGCAGTTGAAAGCAGTCACTATACTTGTACCTTCTTGTGGTTTCTGCAAGGAAGCCAATAGCAGAGCTGCTGCCTCCGGGAGAGTTAGTAGTCGGGCATTTGGACTTCGTCTTTCTGGAGAAACAAAAATGTATAAAGATCCTATTAGTATTTAGCTATTCATATAGATTAATCCTATCCCAGTATGCTACGACACTAGAAAAACCTCTATGAGATAGATTTGTGATCCCTCAGCAAAGAGTTCCTACGCAGAAGACTGATTTCTATAAATTGAAACATTTCACACTTCCTGTGGACATTACTTACAATTGGTTATGTTGTATATCACAGAATGTAAGCTATAGATGACACAGAATTTCATGAAAGCAAAGAGGATTAAGATAAGGAGCCCATGAGAAATTTCTCCCTTCAGAGCTTAATGTGGGATGTCTGGGCAGAAAGGTTTACATGTGATCCTGCTTGGAGCCTGGACAACCTCTTCTGTCATTCCTTCCAAAGCAACTTGAGATCATCTACATTCTTGGCCACACGTAAGGCAATTATCTGATGGAAGGAATGCATATCTGCTAAATATTCAAAATTATTTCAAGTCCAAGTTGACAGAAGACAAGACATCCTGATTCAACACAAACCACTATTTTTAATTTGGGAGCAAATGAAAACATAGCTTACCCTAGTAAAGTAAATAAGCTTAATTACACTGCAATATCGAAAAAGGTAAATGAATACCTGTTGAGCACCTATAGGTGGTGAACACAGTTTGTTTATTTCAAAATAAATATACTTTTTAAATTTCCTTTTTTTTTTTTAGAGAGAGAGAGTGGAAGGGAGGGGAAAGAGAGGGAGAGAGAGAGAGAGAGAGAGAGAGAGACAGAGACAGAGAGATGTGGTCAAGACACACATGGATTTGAGGCCCAGTTGGGTCGCAATGCAACCCAGGTAGGTGTCCTTGAACAGGAATGAACCCAGACCCTTCTGTGCACTGGCCGACACTCTAACCATTGAACCATACTGTCCAGGGCAAAGTGAATATACTTTTTAATTTTAGCATTTCAGTCTTTAAATTTTACCAAAATTCATTGATTTATGATCCTGTAGCACGGAAAGGTTTATTATGAAGAACAAACAAACAAACAAACAAAAAACCCAGTCCCTAGCACCATTCTTTATAGCCTCCATTTAACTGTTTCTGGTTTGGAACATTTTGATAGCTCTTTCTAGTAACATAAGAGGCATAGATTTGAAGTTTCTAGGTAAATCACCATTTTAACAATAACAATACAATGTTTAAGAGGAAACTGTGTAAAGGTCTTGTCATAGCAGGGAAGTACATTTTGGGAGAAGCTGTATAATTTCCCCTACCCCTCCTAACCCCCAGAGCTGAACCCCAGGCCTTGGGTAACTCCCGGGTTTTCTGCACACCGGGGTGGCCAGAGCGGCACTTTGGGCAGCTGCGACCAAGTCCAGCTTGGGAGTGACAGCCCCGGCCCAGGCGGGGCGTCGTGAGCCCCCACCCCCCACCCCTGCGCTCTGCCCCCTGGGGCTGGGCCCGGGCAGGCTCTCCCACCGCCCCTGCGCGGCGGCTTCCCCACGGGGAGACACTCTCCTTCCGCGCCGGGGGAGTGCGCCCTGTCCGCTCGCTCCAGCCCAGTTCACTCCCCCGGTCACTCACCCGGCGGTGGCCGCTCGGAGAGCTCCTTCTTCCGACTCTGGTCTGAGATGAAGCGGCGCCCCTCTGCAAAGGGAGATGCGGGACTCAGCGCCCGTCCGGCCGGGGCGATCGGGCTAAACCGCAGTTGCCCCGCGCCGCGCAGCCCCCCAGGCGGGGAAGCGGGGATGCGGCGGCCCCCGCAGGGAAGCCCCGGGCCAGGACCTGCGCCGAGCTGCGGGGTTTCGGGCTCTCGGCGGGCCACCCCCGGCTGGGCCAGAACAGAGAGACCAGGAGGAAGGTCGCGAGCCCCCGCCCGCCCCGCGCGCCCCTGCCCGACGCCGTGAGTGGGCCTTGGAGCGCAGGTCTGGTCCACCAGCCAGTGCGATGTTCCCCAGGCAGCCCCAGAGTCGTCCTTTGTGGCAAGAGCCAGCAATCCTTATTAGGGTCAGGATTCCAGAGTCTTCCCCTGCCAACAGCAGTCCCCACCCCCACCCCACTGTCGTCCCTTTCCCTTGATCAACTGAGACAGGGCTGACCTTGACCTCGATTCCTGAAGGTAACAAACTTGATATTATCCCCTCCCCGCAGCTCTCCATCTAGTCCATGGACCCATGCACCCCCCCCCCCCCCCCCCCCCCACGGAAGAGCAAAGCATTTGGAACCTACGTGCGCCCTTCAGGTAAAGCATAGCTTGAGGAGTCCAGTTCCTTCTCTCCAAGAGTCTCTACAACCCCGAAAAGAGAAAAGCAGTTAATAAGACATTGCTGCGCAGCCCTCTATTAGAAAAACAAAAAGAAAGGAAGGAAAGGAGGGTGAAGAAACAGAGAAAAGAAAGATAGGAGAGGGAGGGAAAGAAAGAGAAAAGAAAAAGGAAAGAGCATTCAGGAGGTTGATTTTCTTTCTATCTGTCTTTTGCGTTTGCTTACCTGTGGTGCACTGCTGGAATTTCCCATGAGAGAAAACACCAGGAAAAGAGCCAGGGTTGTTGCCGCCAGACTTCTGAGTCCCTACAAGAAACCACCAATCAAAGAAAGAAAGTCATTGATGCGCCTCTAGGATCTTCTGCTTTCTTTCTTGACGCGCGGACAGTTACCAACCCCTTACTTTTTGCTGTGTTCTCTTTTAATACTCAGAATGGGGACAGGGGTCCCCAGTCTGCCTTTTAATCCGCCAGAGTTCTCTTTTTTTTTAAAAAAAAAAAAATTATATATTTTCATTATTTAATCCAAATGACAAATGTGTGAATAAGTGAATTTTTTTTCTTAGTAATATCAAATGAGTCTAATATGTTAAGGAGTATTATTTAAATATCCTCTAAAATGCTTATTAAGTATACAGTAATAGGTAAACTGCTCTGAAGCATTTTATAAAATAGTTTAAAAGTTAAGTAAAACCATTACTTGCCTTCATGCTCTGCTCCTTTCCAGAACCTGCGGTAAAGGTAAAGGTAAAGGTATAACTTTACCTGTGAGTTTTCCAAGCTTGTTCTGAAGGGGAGGCTTTTAAAACCTTAGCATCAAGGGCCCCTCCTTCAGGCTTCAGGAGAGTTAGGGAGTCCCCGGGGACTTCATGTCAGTCTTCCAGAGTGAGAGGATCTGATGACTCCTCCAGGAAGGTTCAATTGCAGGAAGTAGAGAAATGATTGATGGGTGGACACCATGTGTTCAGGTACTGACCACACCAACTGGGAGATATTCTGAAAATACCAGCCTTATTGTCCGTTTTTCCCACTAACTTCCCAGCGTATCATCATCATGGTCATCATCATCATCTTCTTCTTCTTTATCATCATCATCAAAGAAAATGATTAAGTTTTGGCACAAGCAACACTAAATAAAGTAAGGAAACTTGTTTGGGTAACTAGCTACAAGCTATCACTGATGACGAATGATGAATCATTTCGGCAGAAATGAAAAGGTTAGGGAATCTCAATGGAATTTGATATCGGTTATTCATTTTCTCGAATGCCTGCGATGCATTAGACATTCCTCCTTTTAATTCAAGGGACACAGCCAGGCATCAAAGAGACACAGTCTCTGCTTTAATCAAGCTTACCTTCTAGTCAGGGGAGAAACACTCTAAACTAGTAAACAGGTAAACAAGGTAATTACAGGACGTTTTAAATGCATTATGAAGTAAAAGTAAGCAACACGATGAGGTAAAGTAAGTGGTAGGAAGGTAAAAATAGAGGGAGGGGTCTGGAAGGTTAAGGTGGAATCAGAGATGGGATAAGTTGGAGTGAGAATTAGTATTTATATGCATAAGAAAGTAAAGCAAAATCTTGGGATGGGAAAGAAGTAGGCTTATTTGAGGAATAGGAAGGAAACCAATGGAGTGAAAGTTGTGTGGGTAATGGCACGGCACTTTGAAATGAGATTGGAGAGGAAGAAATGGGCCAGTTCATTTGGGAACATGGTTATAAGCAAGGGATGATGATGGTTTTGCCCTGACTGGTTTGGCTCATTGGATAGAGCATTGACCTGCGGACTGAAGGGTTCTAGGTTCGATACTGGTCAAGGGCATAAAAAAAAAAAAAGAAAGAAAGAAAGAAAAAAATAAGCAAGGGATGATGATGGTTTAGGCTTGGGTGGTATTTGCAGGGAATGAAGAGCTGTACATGAATTTGGGGTGCAGGTTGGAGGTAGAAAATAGAGCTTGGTGGGATATGAGAGTCTGACAAAAATAAATCAAGGATGATTCTTAGGTTTTTGGCTTAAACACTGGGTGAATGATGAAACCATATATTGAAGCTAGAGAGACTTCTTAAGGAAGCAGTTCAGAGAGGGAACTTAAGAGCTGTCTTTTGGGCATATTAAAATTAAAATGTATGTTAGACATCCAAGTAGAAGGGGGAAGTAGGCAACTGGAAATGCAAAACTCTATAGAGTTCAGCAAAGAGGTCATCAACCTATCGATATTTTTCTGAAGGCAGGAATTATCAGATTTCAGAATTTTAAGAATTCTATGAATTTTAAGGCAGGAAAAGGATTGGGATTGAATGATAACACTTAGGGAGTGAATGAAGTTAAAGAAGAGAGGCAAAGATAGAGCTATGAAAATAAATATGCAAAGAATGAGCAGAGGGAGAGTCAGTAAGGAAGTTGAGGTGAAGCAATCAGAAAGAAAGGAGAAATTCCAGGAGACAAGGAATCCAGGAAACTATCCATTATGTTGAAAGGTCAAACTAGATGAGAGCTGAGAAGTGTATACTGGATTTGTTTTTGAGGACATAAACTAGATTGGATTGGGATGGAAGTGAATAAGATATGAGGATATAAAGACAAGCGTGGACAACTTCTTTCAGGAATTTCACTAAAAGGGGGAAAGGAAAAATGAATCTTTTTAAAAGATGAGATACTTGAGTGTGGTGGAAGTGTTATTTTTTGGGGGGGCTCAGTAATATCTGAACCCTTTCACTTTTAGGGAATTCCTAAAATTTTCTAAATTATGAATTATGGAATTGGGACTCTTGGTGGGAAGCAGAGACTTTTTTTTTTTTTTCTTCTATTGTAGAAGCTGAAAGTGCCAGATCCTCACTTTCCCAGCCTCCCTATCAGGTAGGATGTGGGCACATGATTCAGGCTTCACCAATCAGATATACTCACCTAGATGAGCAATCTGGAGATTGGATGAAAGCAAGTGAGGTCATGAGAAACACTGTTACAGTGGGGTTGTAGTAAGCTTGAATTGGTGGGGGAAATACTGCCTACAACACTTATAGCAGATTCCAAGATGGTGTTACCATCTGTAGGGTCTTTATAATGAAGTCCTCTTGCTCAAATCAGTCCAGTTTGTTGGTTTTTCTGATGACAACTAAGAGACCATTTGTGGGACATGTATGCTGATGGAGATGATCCGTGGAAAGGATACATGGATGGTGCAGAAGAGATCTGCAAAAAGGAATGCATAGAAGGCAAGAGGATAGGATCCAAAGCATGTCAATATGCAGTTGAAAGTTACATATATAGACAGATATTGAACAAGGACCTGAGTGCCCACCTATGCTAAGATACAGTGGATAAGAGAGATGATCCCTTTCTTCTAAAAATTATACCAGCTGTCCTCAGGTATTAATAAACCACCTGGGACTTTTGCTAAAATGCAGATTCTGATTTAGTATGGGTGGGGCGGGGCCTGAAATTCTGCTTTTCTCATAAACTTCCAGGGGATGCTGATATCTGCTGCTCTACTGACCATTGGACATTTTGAGTAGTAAAGCTCTAGAGGCTATGATAAGTGATAAAAGGTAAACGTTAGAGTCTGTGTGGATGGGAAAATGGCTAGCAGTAGAAATATTGGAATATGGGGAGAGAACAGATGAGTTTGGTTGGGGCTTGAAGTTTGAGGGGCTGATGCTACCTGCAAATCTTTGTTGTTAATACAAAGATTTATTGTTAATACTTGTTATTTAGACTTCATGGTTATGTGCAGACAAGAAAACTGGAGCTTGGTTAGTAAATGTGAATGGAATAAAGAAAGTAGAAACTTGAGGAATATTTACTCGCTTTAAAGAATCAACAAGAAAGAGTCAAAGCTTGTAATGTTTTCCACTGTCTTATGAGAGGGGAAAGATTTTAAAAAATTAAAGACTAAAAGGTTAACACCCAAACTGGACAAAATATTAATATTTCTTTAAATATTAGGATTTAATTTCAAGGGATTGTAGCAACTTCCAAAAAAAGAACAATAAACTAAATACAAGTATGCATGTGTTTATGATTTAAATGAACTCTTAAATGAAACCCAATTACTAGGTTACCTAACAAACAAGTAAAATGCCCTTTTCTTCTCTCCACACCAAAGACACACAAAGGTTTAATAAAGGGGAAGAAAATGAGTTGCCACTAAAACTTTGTTTGAATTTCCAATTTTAAAGAAAAACAAATGAATGCAGTTTGTTGATAACAGTTTAGCTAATGAGTTCACAGGCAGATGTTTGACGTCAATGCTGCCATTTTCGGGATAATATGCACAAGTGAAGAGAATAGCTTTGACAGATTATCAATATTGTAGTCTTATCAAAAGTAGCATGCCAGAATGTGTTTGTTCTAAAAGGGCATTGACTTCCAATAAAATGTTTTTGTTAAATCACAAAATTTTAAGATTTTTACAGGTCTAAACCTAGAGATGGGCTAAGAAATTTGATTTTAAAAAAAAGTTGATGGATTTAACCACTCAGTTTTATTCTGCTGACATTTACTCTGCTGACCAGGCAGTGGGCTTTTTAACAAATTGGATCCTAAGCCTTTTGAATAGGCATATTCAATGGAGACCATTTTGCCTGCATAGCTGATGTTATCTGAATTTTTCTCGTTGACTCGAGGGTGCTCAGGCCCCATTTTAACAATAACTGTTGTTGAAACTGCATTCTTACACGTCAGTGGTTATTGTGTTCACATAGAAAACAGCCCCTATCTTGGGTTAGGTTACCTGGGCAATATGGCTATTATAATACGAACATATCCAAATTACTTCTTTGATGAAAGAATAGAGAGGAATTTGAAATAGTATGAATGACATCATTGGGTTTGAGCTCCTCCTTTGGCCTGATTCTGTGCCAAGGTCAGTTTGTCCCACAGGCCAGTTGTTTCACAAGCAGGTGAAAGCAGTCATTTTCCTAAAGGGCTACCAGTTTTAGGAGGGTCTTTAGGGACACCGAGGCGGCCTGCTATCCTATATAATAAAAGGGTAATATGCAAACTGACCCTAACAGCAGAACGACTGGGAATGACTGGTCACTATGACACACACTGACCACCAGGGGGCAGACGCTCAATGCAGGAGCTGCTCCCTGGTGGTCAGTGCGCTCCCACATTGGGGGCTCTGTTCAGCCACAAGCCAGGCTGCCAGCTGCCAGCACAGCGGTGGTGGTGGGAGCCTCTCCTGCCTCCTCAGCAGCGCTGAGGATGTCCAACTGCAGCTTAGGCCTGCTCCCCACTGGCAAGTGGACATCCCCCGAGGGCTCCCGGGCTGCCATAGGGATGTCTGACTGCCAGCTTAAATAATACAAGTATATATTACTTCTACCTTGAGGAAAAAATACTTAATCATTGCTCGACTCATTTCTAAATTTATTGCCTACTTTTTTGGTTTACCCGAAGTTCACTTCTAGTTATGATTACATTTATACAACTTGGAAATGGAAGATGTGATGACCATTTTATAAAAAAAAATAAAATAAATTACATTAGAAAAAGGGTGGATTATTGTATAATGCTAAATCAATTTTTAGAATCTCATGATACATTTGACCACTGTTATGGACTTAGTGTACCCCTCCAAAATTCTTATTGAAGCCCTGATACCCAGTATGATAGTACTTGGAGATGGGGCCTTGGGAGGATATTAGGTTTAGTTGCAGGCACAAAGGTAGGGCCCTCCATGATGGGATTAGTGTCCTTGTAAGAAGAGGAAGAGAGACCAGAGCCTTTCTCTCCCATGTGAGGAGCCAATGAGAAGGCAGCCAGCAAGAGAAAGGGTCCTCAGCAGGAAGTGAATCTGCCAGCACCTTGATTTTGGTCTTCTTAGCATCAATAACTGTAAGAAATAAATGTCTGTTGTTTGAGTCATCCAGTCCATGGAATTCTGCCGTAGGAGCCCAGCTCACTAAGACAACAAGCAATTAATAGAAAAGTACCCTTTTATTGAGAGATAAGACAAGTGTATTTACAATATTCAATGGTTAGATCAGACAGTCTGACTGTGAGACTTTTTTAAAGCAGCAGTATTCCAGGAATTACAATTTATAAGGGGAAAAGAAAAACATTCCAAATAGGTTTCTGTTACAGAAAATACATTTGAACAATGACAGATACTCTTAAGGCTAAGTAGAATTATACCTTTTCCTCCATCTTTATAGCAATAATCTTTTCTTTTCTTTTTTTTGTCATGAAGACAGAAGGTTAATTTTTGAAAGGAAAAATCAACATGGTTTAGAAAAACTGAAATAGTGGAGGACTAGTATGTTTAAAAATAGAGCCTCCTCAATGGTTCTCAATAAGAAACATACAATGCTGCCATGCAGTCCCAAACTCACATTTGAGATTAAACATGGTCTCCATAAAACTGAAAAACTGCTCCAGCCTCTCAATCTTACTAAGGACAGGTAGATTATTAAGTCCTTGGCACGCTTCTGTCTGATAATGCTTTCTGAAATAAGATTGTTGAAAAGAGATCTCTGTTACTTTGCAAAGAACATTTTGGTAGAAATTCATGTCCACAAAAGAGTTAAATAATACAGTTGTTCCTTACATTAACAGATACTATTTTTGCCCTAAAAAGGTAGAATGATCTAGTCTTTGTAAATAGTATGGGTCAGTCAAAAATATGTTTAACAGAGTCCTACAGGGAAACTTATGTAAGTCAGTCCCCAAAATATATTTGACACTCTCCAAGTGAGGATTTTATTCTTTTGAAGAACACTAGACACACTACTAAGTCTCTTAATATTCCATGAACTATTGAGGTAGGAGTCTTATTTCATCAATATCATCTAGATTTCACAGATTATACCTTAAATCATATGCCAGTACCAAAAAGACAGTAATCCACAAGACTGAACCATTAGGTTATACACCAAGTCTGTCCTTTAAACGAGCAAGGTTGGGAATTCTCTGTGCATCAAAAGATTTAACTTAAAAGTAACATAAGGTGTAATACATTTTGTAGACATGTTTGTAAATAAACCCACAAATTTCAATTATGATTTCATGTATTAAAAAGCTTTCCTGTTAAAAAAAAAAAAAAGTAAATAGTGCACTCATTAGTGGTAAAACAAATAGTACTATGGCTGCTGAAATGTGTTCCTATATCCACCACACAAGTTGCCACCGTGGAAAACTACTAATGAAGAAACAACCAGTTTCTTTCTGCCTGTCAGGCAGCAATGGCAGAAAAGAACAACACATCATTTTTCTAGTGTCATATTTTTAAGAAATAATAACCAGTTTAATTACAGTAAAACAGCCTCAGCATGTGAACTCAGATATTTTCTCTATGACTTAAGATGAAGAGTGATCATATGAAGCATACCTATTGATTTTTGTTATGAAAAAGCTGAAAATAAGGGGAAACTCAGCTTACATGAATAGCCCTTAAAAAATAGCTGTAAGTTGAACCTTTTAACATGTTATGTCTTAAAGTAAACATTACCAAGTTAGTTATTTTAGTTTGTAAAAAACATAATAAGCCACTGCTAATTTTTTTTTTAAATAGAAGAAAAAAAATCTACATCATGACAGGAAAATCCTTTTGGTTTGCAATTAATGTTTTAAATAACATCCTATTCAATGAAACAAGCTACGTAACAGACTACTTCATTGTCAAGAATGCTTTTTGTTAAATGCCTACATGTAACAAATGATACAAATACAGTCTTAAGACTCCCAAGAAGTAAGAGTATTTCCAGAGTGTGTTGCTGACCAAAGAAGTGCATAGTCAGCTATAATTTAGAAACGAAAAGCTAGTAAAGAATGACCTTTGCATATTCCAACAGAGAATATCTAGTTCATATTTTCATCTGGCTTTAAAATATTAAGACTCAGAAGAATCGCAACAGTTTTATCTTCACCATGTTTACCAAAAAAAGTGATCCGTATATCAAAACTGGGTTTTCCTAGGTTTTAATACATTAAAATGACATGACATAATCCAATCTAACCCATGCATCACTTTCGGAGACACGGTGCAAATGGAAATATTTTTCCAGCTGCAGTGGACATTTCTAAAAAGCAAATGCCTATGGGTGCCCCTGAATCTTCAAAATAAAAAAAAATAAAAATTAATCAGGCACCATAGCTCTCTGAGGATAGTTGTGTTTCGCACATTGTGGAAAAAAATTAAAAATTGCCTTCAAGAGTTTCAATATGCAATGTAACAGATTTCATCTCCTTCAGTTTGCTTGCTGTCTTCTTACATCACCTGATTAGAAGCCTGTTGTCACTGCTTCTTTGTTAACTGTTGTTGGTACTTTGTAGGTATACATTTTAAATGTCTGTAAAGAACATTACAAGCTATTTCATGTAATTTAATCTGTGCTGGATATTCTTCAAAAGATTTTATAAATAATACAATATTTTAAATGAGTCTTCAATGTACTGTTGTTATACCATATTGTTGCTTTCTCCAACTTTATCTACAAACTGCAAGAAGAAAAACAGACAAAAGAAAGCCTTCAGCATTATTAAATATTACATCAACATTTTAAATGTTAATTTAAAAACAGCTTTATAAGATTTGTGGAAATTTAAGGTATGACTGACAATGATTAATCCAGTACTACTCACCACCATCTTCTGACACGTAAATGTGTATAAAAAAAATTTTTTTTCTAAAAGTTATTTTTGCATGACATGCTATACGTATGATTTTAAGGGTGAGACATGAGAAATACAACACAATGGAAAAAAAAAACTGGATAAAATGAAGTTAACACTGATAGCTTAAGAAAAAAATAAAAAATTAAAAAGCTGAAATGTCACAGCCAATCATTCATTAATGAACCCAATAAGATATTTCAACTGACCATGACTGTGGATCTCTTCTGGGCCTATGTAGTCTTTGAACAAACAGATTTAAGTCCATTAAGTACAATAATTAACAGCAGCTATTGACTAAAAATACTTTAAATGTGTAACTGGACTATGGACTGAAAGTGGCAATGACATTAAAAATAGATGTAAGGGTGCAAGCATAAATTTACAATTTTAATACATATACATGTAAGTGGTTATTTACTTTGGTTACTCCATCCCAAATATTAAGCATTCCAGATGGTGATGCAAACAAATACTGAAGCAAAGTAATAGTGGAGATATTAAAAGTCATGCAGCCATCAAATCTATAATACTATCAAGTCTAGCAATCATCTAATTCTTTCATTTCACTAATCATGTTTTTACTTAAATATTTTATTATAATGAAATAATATTAATAGGAAACATAACTTTTAGTACTGGGTGTCCATCTATGCAAATATTGAAGAATCCTTAAATTAAGGACATGAATAATTATTACAATTCTATAACTAGAAGTTTTAGTAATTACAAAAGCCATGCTAAGTATAAACAGCATTGACTACTCACAGTGGTTCTCAACCTTCCTAATGCCGTGACCCTTTAATATAGTTCCTCATGTTGCGGTGACCCCCAACCATAAAATTATTTTCGTTGCTACTTCATAACTGTAATTTTGCTACTGTTATGAACCGTAATGAATATATCTGATATGCAGGATATATTTTCATTGTTCGCGACCCACAGGTTGAGAACCGCTGGTACTTTATGAGTTTGGAGATCAATGCCAATAAAATCAGGATATATCCCTGTAAACCTAGGTTCCAACACCTTTTTTAATGTTATTTTATATCATGGTAAATAAGTGACTGGTACCCTGAAACTAAAAGTTGCTCTGAAAGTACTCATAGATTCATTAGAATTTTAAGGTAAATTTAGTTGGTGAGAAAGCACAACATTCCCTCTTCAAAGGTAACTTCTAATATGTAGGTTGTGTAGGCTGCAAGTTTGACTCTACAATTGACTTGAGGATTAAAAAAAAAATTTGGCTTATAGTAGTACCTTTAGTTCTTTGAGAATTCAGTAAATGTTATGGCCTGTCTCTCTAGAAACATCTACAAAAATCTACAAACAACTTTACACTCACACTGGAGAAACAGATTTGCTAAGAGTGTCCAACTCATAGAGAGCTGGGGACAGAATTTTATCATTTGACTTTCAGTATAACAGTGCTCCATTT